AGTTAATTTGTTCTAAATAGTCAGTGTCATCTTTATCATCTTTTTCTGATAAAATTTTTAAAATTGTAATAAGGTAGATTATTGCATTTTTTAATTCAAGTAAATGTTTCCACGCAAGATATGTGGAGTTCTACCGGGTTCAAGTGTCTAAAAGAACTTCATACACCTTTTGGTAGTTTAATTTGCATTGCGCATCTCTAAGATTTTCTGTGTTTTTAGGACTACTATTAAAAAATAAAATAAGATTTGTAACACATTTTTTAAATGCACCAGTAGCATTAAAACCTTTAGTTATACTTAGATGAAGTGTATGAGTGGCACATGGCACATGTGAAATTTTCATTAATCGTATAGCTTTTACAATATTCGCACCATTATCAGTAGTGGTGGCAATTAATTTTTGCTTAAGTTGAAATCGTTCAATTACTTCATCTAAAGCATTTTTAATATTTTCACCTATATGCTTCTCATTAATTTTTTCACAAGTAAGTAATGCTTCTTTTAATGACCAATCTTTAGAATCTATCCACCCAGCTATAATTTCAATATAAGGTTCATCATTATGTGAAGACCACAAATCTGTAGTAATACTAACAGAATAAGTATCTTGCAATAATTCTGTAAATTGTCTAATCGATTGAATATATACATTATTAATCATGCGTCGTATTTTATCATCACTTGGAACTTTAAACTCAGGTAATGCAACTTCTATAAATGATTTAAAAGACTTGGATTGTAAAAGGTAAAGTGGTTGGCAGTCATCAATCATCCAAGTTAACATGGCAATTTCGATGATTGGTTGTTTTTTGCAAGCAGCTTTTCCGTGAGCAACTTCAAAAAAATCTTCGATATTTCCATCTTCCATCTAAATTTATTTGCTATTAATAATTTTCTTAATTTTACAATATGTAAAAAAAAAACTTACACTATCTGTAGGATTTTTTTTTCATGATTCCATGTTCATTTTCTAAATGATATATCATATTACTTGTAGTGCAGTGAAATTTGTACTTTACAGTTTTTCCTTTTCTAGCACATATTTGGCATTGAGTGTGGACCTTATCTTCTAATATTGTAAAATGATGCTATATATAACTCGGATTATTTGAACATTTAGTGCTAAGTTGGGTTTCTTCTTGTTCACTAGTAGTACTATTGTTTTCTATATGTATACGTTTTCGAATATTACTAACTTTTCGTTTATCTTTACTGTTTATACGAGACATTTTTCTAAGTACAATTTTTTTTGAGACCAGCATTTTTATTCAAAAAAAAAAGCTCATCTTTATTATTGTATTATAAACCAGTTTTTTTTTTTTTTTTTTTTTGTGAATTAACGATTTAATCATTTTGGATACATATGCAAAATTACTTGTATTAAACTGTAAACATGTTGCTTATCGCATAATATCTCTTCCCATGTAGATTTTTTTACAAGGAATTTAAATAACAATAAGGAATTCCTCTTATTTAAAATTATAATAAGTAATATGCTTTAAATATATAAATACCATGTGCATGTAGAAGAAATAAATTACTTAAACTAGAATTTGTAAGTTCTAGTGTTATACCAGTTTAGCAGTATGTATATAAAGCGAAATAGACTGTATTCTATAAGCAAAGTAGTTGAAGTTAAAAATTACTTAATTCAATAAACTGGTTTTATTCCTAGGTTTGTACTGTACATACGTATGTATGTATGTACGTACATTATTTATGAGGAAGAAAATAGCTATTTTATACTGTACTTGTGTTATGTAAAAACATATTAAGCATCCAAAAATCTTAAATATAAAATAAAACCGGTTCTAATGCTAAACTCTAATTTAGATGATCTTTTAGCAACTTATTTGAATAAATATTATTATTCAAATAAATGCTATTATTCGAATAATAGCATTTATTTTGAATAAATGCTATTATTCAAATAAGATTTGTTTATTCAAATTATTTGCTGAATAATTATTCGACAAGGTTTAAAATACTATTCGAATATTTACCGAATACGAATATTATTCGAATAACGAATACGAATAAGAGGCTCTATATATACAGTAAGTATTGAATTTGGCTAGATTATTATTAAGAATCTTCAAAGTAAAAAAACATTCAATATAGAGTTTAGATAGTAGCAATTTTTGAATATGTGCTAGGTTGATTACGCATTACCTAGCTATAATGATCTTTTTTATTTCAGTATATATACAGTGTATTTATAAAATTTCATTTTCAATAAAAACCTCCATGTGTTTTATCAATCATGAATATAATTTTAATTCATTATTGTAAAAAGATACTATTATAAAGTGAGGTGTAAGGCTTAATAGAACTTATAAAATTTAGGTTTAAAAGTGAAACATCTTTAATATCAAGGAATACTACTAAATATATGAATCGGCATAGATTATAAAAGAATTTTTATAAAATATATATAGTACATGTTTGTTTGAAATTTATTATTATATGTACATTATATTGAGAACTTTTATATTCTAGTCTGTAAAAATTTTGTTATAAGTAAAAAATATGAAAATTTTTTTAATAATTCGATGGACAGAATTTTTACGTAATATAAGTTTTAGCCAATTACAGGTTTGCATTTTGATAGATTTTCAATTTTGTGATATTGAAATATATTTGATCATTTTTCTAAAAAAAGAAAAATTGGAAAATTTATTTATTTAAGTGCATATAAAATTAAAATTTCCTAGTTTAACAGATATAAAATTTGTTTCAGTTAAGTTATGAAAAGCAAAGAAAGAAATTGGCAAGCTTAATAGTAAAAAAATAAAGATTAATAGAAAAATCTATTTGAGAGTAGATGGATTGTTATTATTAATAATATTATTTTGAGGCCCGGTTCTAATATTTTTAATTTGACCTACAGCTTGTAAAAATTATCAGTTGTAGATTTATTGTTTTGCAGTTTTGGATTATTTTTTTGAGGTTCAGTTTTTTGTGGCTTTGAGGGAGAAGTAGGCAGTAAAATTTGTGTATTATTTTTTTCTTGAGGGAGAAGAATTTAATTTGGCATACTTTTTTTCAATACCTTCGAGATGATCATTGATATCACTTTGAGCTTTTGCCTTTTCTTTATTTGTATTATTAGAGGTTTGTTCGTTACTGGCATAGTTCTATTCAAAGTATTTTTTTGCACCAATTTTTAACCTTCTAATAACTGAAAGAACTATCTTTTTCATGTTATCTTTTATTGCATTATATCGGCTATTTTGATTGGTATAAAATACAATAACTTCAGATTCTATATTTTTATAACCAGTAATGCCATTATATAATTTTTTAGAGAGCATGAGGCTTTCTCTACCAAATTCGCTATTAGAAAAGTGAAAGTTAGAAATGACAGAAGCAGAAAATAGTAATAGTGAAGACGAATAGGATAGGTCATCGGGAGTGATTTCGATTTCGTCACTGGAGGTGGAAATTAGTACAGTTTGTACTAAAGTAAGCTGATATTTTAAAAAAAAGAAAAAAAAATTAACATATCATGGCTATGGGTTGGGTAGAATTATTTACATATTTGGCATCTTCAAATACATATCTTCCAATAATTAAGACTATAGAATTTTTTTCTAACTTTGTAATCAAGAATTTTTGAGTTATAAAATCTTTATAAGTTAATTCTCTAAATTCTTCTTCGTTACTTCTGTAGATAGCACTTCTGTGACACATTTTTTACTTCCTGAGATAGTTTTAATAAAACATAAAGCTACAAAAATTGAAGTCATATTTTTTTTGAAATAAGAATGAAGATTGAATTATTTTATTTTTTTGGTTAGATAAGATAGATTTTATATATGAAACCTTGTATATTTTTTATTTTTAAATATTTTATTAGGTGACGATAATGATATGGTTATTTGAACAAGTTTTGTTATTTGTAATTTAATGGTAAACTGGATCTTTTTTTTTTTATTCTCTTTTTGGTTTTGTTTAATGTACTTTCCTTTTACATTCATTCAAAGAGCATGAAAAGATAATTGTTTATCTGATTACATGTAAGAAGATTTTAAGGATTGAGCTTTAGTAGAATAAGATTAGTTTCTTGTTTTTTTTGTTTATGTCTTATTGTAAACATTATATTATCCTTTTACGATCAACAAGAAGTTGGTACATGAGTATATAGATAGCTATCAATAGAAATCAGACAAATTGATGTTTTAGGAAAAATCTAGAACTCAATTTTCACAGCTAATATCTTGATAAATTTTGAAGTTAGTTTGATAATAATCAAAAGAAAGATTAAGTTCTAAGCTTTCTTTAGAAAGTTGAATTATCAAGATAGCTTCAAAATTCATTGAGATATAAATTTTTTTAAAATGTCAATTTGGCTGATTTCTATTGGTGACAACACATATTGTTATATGATAGTTTGATAATTGAAATATTAATCAAGACAATTAAATGTAAGTAATTTTTCAAGAATAAGATGTTATATTAGGGTTATAGCAGTAATTATAATTTTAATGATCAAATTAAAGTATTATGTCTTACATTATTAATCATAGAGAAAATTTTGAGATTGTGAAATTATTGATTAAAAATAGATTTATAGGAGTCAAAAAATTTAGATTAAGACAATTCAAGTTTAATTACATTTGGAATTGAATTGGTTGATAGGAAAAAAATCTAGATTGAGGCAATTCAGATTCAAATTATAATTTAAAATCAAATTTATAAAAGCTAAAAAGTATAGCAAGAAGCAATTTTTTTTTTTTTTTATATTTTGGCTAAGTCTTGCCGTGACTATCTCTACTAACCACCCCTATACAGGAGGGCGACTACAAATCAAGTATTTCTACTATTATGAGTATATTCAAAATAGATTTAACTCTACCTAGTTACCTATTCAGTTATCTAGAACCGACCGCCTGCACCATCCTCCGGAGAGATCAGATCACCTTATTATTGTATTGAACTTTCACCAGCCAATCCGGTGTCGCCACGAGTTCTTGTAGTATCTTTATCAGACTTGGCCTCACATTATGTCTTATAACTAGTATTGGGGCACAAGGGTATGAGCATGCCCCTAGGGCATGCCTATGCTAAATTACATAACACAAATGGTCAATTCTATTGGCCAAAAATCAAACACTCTACAATAGCAATTTTTCAATATATATTGTAATATAGTAGACTTTGGTAGCAGTAAACTATATTACTTGACTTAGTGTTAAGAGAGTAAGAAATATGAATAATATAAAATAAACACTAAAAGAAACTAAGATAAAACTAAAAGAGCTAAAAAATAAAAAAAAACAATAAAAAGACAATAATTTTACTATAAAAGAAGATAAAAGAATATAAAACATGTATAAAGTAAGTATTTTACAAGATAATATCAGTTTATTAGATAAAAAGAAGAAAGTACAGGA